TGTATTCATGTGATCATTTGAAACAGTCTCAGAATAGGAATATTTAATCATTATTATGTCTATCAAGTGTGTGTGTGTGTGTGTGTGTGTGTGTGTGTGTGTGTGTGTAAGAGAGAGGGAGAGAGAGAGACGATTAAATATAAAACTTGCTAATTAATTTTTAATCTAAGTTAGTGAAGACATATACTTAGGGATTTTATCATTGTTATATATATATATATATATATATATATATATATATATATCTTATGACTTTATATTCATATTAAAAACAAAGCTGTTCTCCATATAGTTAAGTTTATTTCATTCTTCAGTTTGTGAGTTGCTCAGCACACTGCTGTCTGTTTTTCCGTCTCTACTGAACCTCCACAGGCCAACTTACACGGAAGGGATGGGTGGTCATTTTATCATTTTCATTCTTGTTTGAGATAATTTTAATTTGGAAATGGATTCAAACAAAATACTTCCTATCATTTATGAAAGTAATTTCAAAGCTCTAATACCAAGCAAAGAACTGGCCTTAAAGTTTTAGAAATTGTTACATGAGAAGTCTTATTACTTGGCTTTTAGTTTCCACTTTGTTTGGATCATGAATAATCAACCTTCTGTTTTATGCCTATAAATAAAAATCAGGGCATCTATGGAAACCAGTTGACTTGAGGTATTGAGTCTCTTCATATACACTTGGAGTGTGTATTAAATATCTTAGGGAAACTATGTTAATACAGCTAAAGCAGAGGTTTCAGTGATTCAGATCATGAACCATGCTCAAAATGGAAAAATAACTTTAAGAATAAAATGATCTACAAATTGACGAAGTATAGAATTTACACAGTTTCTACACCAGAGAATAACCCACATCAGTGCCAAAACGGCATCAGTTTTGCCAAACTCTTAAAGATGGAAAGCTCAGAACAGGACTAAGGTTTTACCTGGCATTCCAGCCTTAGGTTTCAAAAGAATTTTTGTTTTTGGAGATTTATGAACTTATTCTTAATTCAGTACATTTAAAGGTGCATAGCATTACCTTTATTATGCAGGAGGAATAAAAAGTTCAGTTCTCTCAAACTGTGCATTATTAGTTAATGATAAATGACATAAAGTGCAATGTATAGCATTTTGTTCTAGAACTATCTTGCACTAATGGCCTTATGCATCTATATTTAGGTATGAAAAGAAGGCATTTTTTAACTATAAGATTTTTAAGTGTCTCCATTTGTTGACAAAATAACATAGATGATGAATGGAGATGAAATATAGACAAAGATAATTATTTCTCATTTTTATTATTATAAGTTAACATTCAAGCAACTCTAGTTTTAAGACAAATATACAAAAGATATTCTAGTTTGAAGCGTTTTGAAATCTAGGAGCCAGTTAAGATCTTCCCAATTTTAATGCTGTCCAGAAATGAAGGCAGAAAGCCCTATAAATTTCATAAACTATGTAAGTGTGGAAAGTGATTGGAATCATGGCTGAGATTGATCAAATATGTTTTGAACTATTAATAAAATATTTTTTAAGTTTAACTCTATTAATCATGATCTATATTTCATGCTTTCTTTCAGAATATTACCCTTTCAAATGTTTTACTTTTCAAATACATATATTTTCAAATATGTCTCATCTACAAATATATTTCAAATATGTTTCAAATACATGTGTATATTTTAAACATGTCACAGATATATGCATATATATGTATATTTCTATATATGTATGGCTCATGGTTTTAGGCAGAGATATACTTTTTGTTTGTCACAATTTGATTTACAATATGGTATGTGAATTGAGGAGAACTACCAATTTCTGAAAGAAATCATAAATCTAAATATAAAAACAGAAACTAAAAAAGTAGAATGTGTTCGATAATACTTAACACTTCAGAGGTATGGTTTAAGTATTCTTTTTTTCTGTTATTTGTGAAAATATAACAAGTTTTTATTATTATAAAAGTGTCAATAGAATAAGATAAAAATGTTTACATTTTAATGACCTGGAAAAAGCATAGATATAGCACATCTGTTTCTTAAATTTTATAATACTTAATACCTGGACAAAGGTAATTCTGTAGTTAATTGAAATAGAGAATGTAATAAATCATTTAAGCTGCCATTAAATGCTTAGTATATTTGAATATAGTTGTTAAATCTGTGTTTTCAAAGCAACCAACTGCAGGACATAACTGCATTTCTTGGGGAGATGCAGTACCAATGACACTCCTATAAGCAATAAGTTTCAGAGATAATCCCAAATTCAGTCATCTAAGCCTAAGACATTACATGTATCATGCACAATGCAAAGAGGAAATTTCTTGGATTTAATGTTAATTCTCATCATCCCTCAAATGTATGACAACTTTTGAGTCACCGTGTATCTTAAAATAAAATTTAAACATTAAATAAGATCAATCTCGATTTAGATAAAAGACTATTTTTTAAAAAAAAAACTGCCTATATTTTTGAATTTCACTTTATTAGTCAGACAGCTTTAAGACATGTAATGAATGTTTAGTTATGGTTATAAATCCCCACAAGAGCTAAACATTTTCCTACACTCTGTATTGCACTATTTGATATTAAACCCCTATATTTGACATTTATGCTAACATAACAGGATTTTTTTCTTTTCTTGGAATACTGAAGTGCATGTTTATGAAGGATAAATATTAGAGCTCAAATGACACAGATATCTTAATAATAAGAATTTTCACAATTCACCTTGTTATTGAAAGTCATATTAATCTTTGGATTTTTTTAAGTGCACATATTAAGACAGCTCCTAGAAAAAGTACTGTTGCTTTTTTTCCCCTGGTGTCTCTTTTCTTCATTAAAAAACAAGCACAGCCTAGAATATAAATATAAAAATTCTATATTATAAATATCCTAAAAAGGGGAAGTTTTTGAAAGTGTGGGATGGTTAGTAATATTTAAGCATTATGAAACTTCAATAGCCACATTCAGTTTTGAAAGCAGCAAGACTTTGCTCCTTTTGAGTTTAAGCACCCTGCCCTTTCCCAAGACATTTTGCTGTTCTATGCTTTATACCAGAAATCTGAACTTCTTCAGTCTTAGGAGATTTAATGTTCTGTGCCTTCAATTTCAAAGATCTTTCTTGTTTGTGTCCTTTGGAAGCAAGTCCCTCCTTTACTAGCTTTTTTATTTTCACTCTTCTTTCCCAGATTGCTGTCCTCACCTTTCCAGAGGCTAACTGACTGCTGAGGCAGGTTGTAGAGGAATTTCCGGATATGCTGTTAACATCTGATGGAGTGAATGAGAAAAAAGCCAGCACAGCCACTGGGCGGGCTCACAAAATGCCAGCCTCTATGGAGATAGAAACATCGCTCTTGCTAGTGACTCTTACCTGCTAGCTAACATCCTAGTTAAATGCAACTATTCATTTATGGACAAAGCTGAAGAGCCATGGATAGATTTTGTTAGCCACTGTCTATACATGTATTTGTCAGGCCTGTCTGACATTTCCTACACCGCTTCTAGTTGAAGGATCTTGCACTCTGCAAATATTTTCATTATCTTTATTGGACTAATTGCTCAAATTCCAATCTGAATACAACCTAATGCTTTCAGAACCCAGGATCAACTGAGATGCTAAGGGAGTATAGGAAGGAAATATATCGTTGCACCTTGTACTTCCACATTTAGTATCAAAGCGCATATTGAAACCATAAAAAGAAGAGGAAAAAAATCAAAATATATTCCGATCATATAGGAGAGATGGACTTCTCGCCCTCTTTTTAATTCTTAAAGAACCAAGGGTATGGGCAGTGGCAGAAGAAATACTCTTAAAATCTAAGTCCTGCCAGTACCTAAAGCTCTTAGCGGCCACGCACCCCAAGAATACTCAGTGCCCCTCCTTAGGACTAGATTCCCAAATTACAGGCGAAGAACCTTACCGTCAAAGACTTGCTGTAGGCTCCAGCTCAGCCTGAGACTGAAAAGTTGAGCAGCTGGTGAACAAAAGTTTTAGCTTCTTTTTCCCCCCCTAACGAAGTCTGCAAAACTAATTTCCCTCAAAATAGGGCTCAATTTCCGTTAAAGAAAGCAGCGCTTACAAATCTTCGAATTCCTGATCAGCCCCCACTCCACTGCATCCTAAGAAGTGAAAAACAATTCGACTTTTCACACGGATGTGAAGGTTTGTTTGGAAGTCGCCCTTCTGGAGAACCTCTTAAAACAAAGGGCAGCAGACGAATGTCAGATGGACCGCCGAAGGAAGGGTTCTGCTTTGGGGACACCCCTCCAAAATTAATCAATACCTTTTCCTAATTTAAACCAGATGTCTAGTTCAGGTTGCTGTACTCATTAATCTCATTAGCAATTTCAAAGACTTGGCCATCATCTTCTGGTCACTCAGACAATGAACATGTGGCAGTTAACTGTATTGGCAGTTCAGTTCAGAGCACTGAACAAGGAGCACACACTACAGATGTCCTCCTGGTAGACACTTCCCAGACAGGACCCGACTTTCCTGTAGCTCATTCCTCAAAGCTTGTTGTGGGTGAACGACAGGACCCCCAGTAGACCCTGTGTGGCCAAGCTAATGGCTGTGCCAAATCCCAGCCCCGGCTCTCACAAATTCACCCGTGGCAACTTGTGCAGTTCATTTCCAGGAGCACAGACTGTAGGCTGGGGGGACGGAGCCGTCCTAGCAGAGTGAACTGGGGAATGTTAAGTGTGGTATCTGCTTCAAACAGAAAAGCAAGCGGCGAGGAACTGAAAGGATGCAAGCGGCACCTCGGTGAGAGAAAGAGAGGGCGCGTTTCAGGACGGACAAGAGGGGGCTGTGAATTGGCTCCTGAAGGGTTACACTATGGTGAGGCTGGACGCTACACATTTCATTTGAGACTGGATCAGATTATTCCTGACCTAGGAAAACTTTCTGGTGAGCGAATGCGAGCTGGACCGGTAAAGAGAGGTGGGAGGAGGGTCGGAAAAGAGAGGAAAAGGACACTACTAGGAGCGGCACGTGTGTGATGCCAGGGAGTCAGAACCTGCATCCATTTCTGCTTCACGCTTTCCATCGACTCACCTACGGGTACCTCTCTTTTCCGCACACAGAGCAGCTCTGTGCTATAAACCTCCAACCTTCCGTCCTCACACACCTAAAAGGGAAATACCGTGATGTGCCTAGGGCGCGGGAACTGCGAGTCTGGGAGTTTGAAAAGCGAGACTGCTTCCGCTCTTCCCCTTCTCTTGAACTCTGCTTAAGTTCTCTGTGGTCTGCAAGGTCGGGGAGCAGTCCTGGAGCGCCTGCAGGTGACCACCACCCCTACCCCCACCAAGCTTTGACAAATCTCAGTTCAAAGAATGTTGAGCCGAGCCGCGGTCAGGCGCTCAGGGAGACTGGGTGCTGGCTGCACGCAGGGCCATTGGGAGCCTATGGGACAGATCGCCTTGGCCCGGCTGACTGAGTCTCTGGGCGCTGCCCTGGCTGTGTGGAAGCTCCCAGGATCCGGCAGGCGTGAAGCAGCCGCTCCTGCCCTGCCAGCAATTGGAAACTGGAAATGAGAGAGCATGACTGAGCGGGAGTTTTGGAGGGAGTTTGCATGTGGTCAGCTCTGGGCTCCTAAGCCAGCCCCCAGCTCACATTACACTCTATTTATAACCTCTCCGAGCCATTTCCCCCATGAAAGCAGTTCTCTGGGACCACCTTCTTTTGGCTTCCACCTCTCCCACACTTGACATCTGAGCAGCTGCGAGGGAAGCTCCTCCAGGTCCCAGTGTTTATATGTGCAGGAGACTGGCCGCTAAGGTTTAGGACTGGGATTAGCCAGCTCTGCTGAAACGCGCGACTCCTAAGGAGTGTGTGTGTGCGTGTGTTGGGGAGAAAGAGTTCTAGGACTTTCAGTGAAAAGTGACAGAGCTTGGTGGCCTTTGGGACCATCGTGAAGTCTTCTGCCTGGAAGTCCAGACGTGCATGCCATGGAACACCCCCTCTTTGGCTGCCTGCGCAGCCCCCACGCCACAGCGCAAGGCTTGCACCCTTTCTCGCAGTCTTCTCTGGCCCTCCATGGAAGATCTGACCACATGTCCTACCCCGAACTCTCCACATCTTCCTCGTCTTGCATAATCGCGGGATACCCCAACGAGGAGAGCATGTTTGCCAGCCAGCATCACAGGGGGCACCACCACCACCACCATCACCACCATCACCACCACCAGCAGCAGCAGCACCAGGCTCTTCAGAGCAACTGGCACCTCCCGCAGATGTCCTCCCCGCCGAGCGCGGCCCGGCACAGCCTGTGCCTGCAGCCCGACTCGGGAGGGCCTCCCGAGCTGGGGAGCAGCCCTCCGGTCCTGTGTTCCAACTCCTCCAGCCTGGGCTCCAGCACCCCGACCGGAGCCGTGTGCGCACCCGGGGACTATGGCCGCCAAGCGCTGTCACCCGCGGAGGTGGAAAAGAGAGGCGGCGGCAAGAGGAAAAGCGACAGCTCAGGTGAGTGCCCGCAGAGCACCCCCAGGGAGAGTGTGCGCTGGGCTGGGAAGGGGCCGGGAGATGCCCGAAGGCTCTGGCAGGCAAACCGCGCAACACCTAGCCCTTCCAGGCCCGGTGGCCGAATCCGTCCTTGCAGCTTCGGCCGGCCGGCCGTGTAATTGGGGGAACACGTGTTTCGCTGAGGTTAATATATCTACATCCAGACGTTCAAAGCCCTCCAAGATCGCAAACTAGTTTTCCAGAGGTGGTGAAAAAAGAGCGAGTGACAGTCTGCGAAATCGGTTAAGGAGCGTGGCGGTCCATCCACGCGCTGGGAGGGGTGTGAGCCTTGGGATGCTGCATCCGCTCCGAATGCGTGCCTGTGTACGTGCGTGCGCTTCTTCTTGACTTTTGCCTTACAAATTCCCAACTCCGAACAGCTCGATTTTTCCCATTCTTAACTGCATTTCCAGATCATTGCGCAATATCTTGAACTTTAACTGGGATTTGACAAAATACTCGGGAAAAAAAACATTTTTTTAACGTTTTGCTTTCAGAGTTCCTTAAATAGCACTCTACTTAAAATAATAATAATTTTTAAAAGCCTTCTATTTATTTGGCGAAAAAGGCATTATCTAGGAATCTAGAAGTATTTAAGGAATACATCCAAACATTGTGAATTAGCAAATGAGGATTTGAAGAAAGATCATTCTTCATAGTAGATTAGAATTATGGGGTGCTAACCTAGGAAAAAACAAACAAAACAAAACAAAAACCCCCCTGAACTTCGAAAGTGGGAAATAAAAGTAGAGTTTTGAGACGCACTGGAGAGCTCTGAGCCGCTCTGATGGTGCTGGAAGCAACAGCACTAGGGTGAGCAGACAAGGTGTGGGTCACTTGAGCAGCCCAACCAAAGGAGAGTCTCCCCCATGGGTTCAAGGACCTGAAAGGTCAGTAGCCAGTGCATTGTGGTAGTCCAGGGAAGCTGGAAGTTTCCAGGCAGCGCATCAAAACCTGTAGCTATATTTCTCATTATTAAGATGTTTCTCTTCTGCTCCTTCTCCTCCTCCTTCTTCTTTTTAATCGAGTCCTAGTTTCTCGGCAGTTACGTGGCAACCTGGATACATACTTTGGAAGATGTCACTTAATTAATAAAATGTTTGAATGTATTTAATCTTCTGTGTTAGTGAGAGTTAGAAAATGTAATTCTAGGCATTGGAAAAAATGGGGGGGGGAGTAGCATTTTAAACAATTTAGGCCACGTGTTTTGCTGTGTACGACAGTAACTGCTGTGTATTTTATATCATGTTAAATGATAACAGAAACTTTTCTCAGCCTCCCTGTGGGGTGACCCTTCCTTTCCAGCCTCAAGGATGAACCTTTATTTTCCGAGGTCCAGGGTGAATGTGGACTTTTAATGCACAACAGTGATTAGTTACGTCCAAGAAAGTTAGCACTGTCATTCATTTTTAGTGGTTATCGCTAACGCGATCTGAAATCCTAAGCTATTGAAAAGATTCCTGAGAAGGCGTGTTAGGATGCACTGGGGTTCCTCAGGCAGGGCATTTATGATCAAGAATGCTTGGAAGGCCCAACAGGTTGGCAGCTACCTCAGCAAGAGCCAGAAGCCCCAACTCGAGTCTCCTTCCGCAAGGGAACCGTGGCCTGCTTCTTAGCTGAACCAATGCCCTAAAGATTACGGCACACGAAGGAATTTTTGTTCAGGCACAACTTATTTTTAGTTGGGGAAACAGGGAGAGTAAAACTAAGAAAATTTACTTCCTTAAGTTATTTTAATAAAAACTGTCTTTAAATTGACTAATAGTTGTTTCCATCACCTCTGTCAGGGGAAATAACCACACAGCAAAGTGAAGCTTGTTTTCGTGTTGTGAATCTCATTTTAGAACACAGAAACAAAGAAACAGAATAAAAAATGTGTAAACCCCATGATGTATCAATAGGTTACAAGAATGGGAAGTACAATCATTAGCAAGGATAATGTCACTGGGGTCCACTTGGAACCAACGTTCCCATTGACAGACCATCACAGTCAATCATCAGTTGTCTTGGTATACTTAGTGAATAAAATTCATGTGTTCAGGCTCTGAGTTTATATCGATTAGATCATAGGTAAGCTTAACTCAAAGCCATCTAAGTCCTATTTCAATTTATACAGTGAACATTCAATTCAAGGTTAAGTTATTTCATACTATTCTATAAACATTTTTGACTAACCAGAGAGTAAAATAACATAGAAAATAGTTATAATACTATTTTGTTATCAACACATAAGCCTTATTTGGCACAGCTTGATTATTTCAATATACCTCCATAATTAATAAATGTCCAATAAATTATATTGGACAATCTGAGATTTATGACTACATTAGATAAATATTACATCATGCATAGTAGCACCAGTTTATATATTTAGACATTTTACAATCACTGAGTATTTACAGTTGAGAGTATATGCAGTGTTCCACTCAAAGGCATTGTTGGGACCAAGTCTTCATATACCAGTGCATGTGTGATAATTAAACTAATTTACAATAGAAATTTAAACACCAGGAAATAGTGTTAAACAACCAAATTGTGTATAAACCTTACATTTTTATCCATAGTAAAGAATCCAATGATTTCAATATATAACACTGTCCAGTATTTCTGTCCTGAAAACACATTTGAAAACACACTTATATAAACCCCTAAAGCTTCCCAATATAAAAGTCAATATTTATAGACATTATTCTTCCATTATAGTTAACTAACAATTAAAAATGACCAATTTTCATTTTATGTGCTAAACATTTTTGTAACTTTGAACCAGCTCCCCTTTCCAGCAATGTTAGTAAAGCCAACATCTGCCACTCCTTCAAAGGGACTCTTAAAGTTCGAAACTTTACAACTGTGCTTAAAACAATCAGTACAAACCAGGTGATTGGGAAAATGTCTATAAATACTGAGAACTTTTTGGCTTCAATTATACCAAGCGATATAGTAGCGGGCATGAATTGTTCAAGTTTGTTAAAATAGCTGTGCTCTCTTAATCTAAGCAGCTTTTATGCAGTTAATATATACCATTAATCTGTACATATTCTCTATTCAGTTTAGTTTAGTGAAAATAAGGACGCCTTTTATTTTAAGGCATAATTTTATAACTATATTCCTTTCAAAAATATAATGAATAATTTGGGGATGTAGATTTTATTAGGTTTTGAATCATATTAGATTTTTTTAAATTGCAAATTGCTATTATAGCACAACATATTTTGTTCCGAATTATGTGAGTCTGTGTGTGTGGCTATACAGAATAAAAAGTGATGTATCTAATATATACAACAAGCTCACCTCAGAATAATGTTAATTCCATCTAATTCTGCTATTATAGTTTGATATTTCCTGTATATTCCAATAATTACACTTTCTGAAAATAAGACAAACAACTTTGTGATTTATTCCTGTCTTACTGGATTATAACTTTTTATATTTTCTTTAGAATAAAATACAATCTTTAGGACCTTGGATATCCAGGAGAATTTTGAACAGTTTAAAATCTTCAAACTATAGTATATAAAATGGCATTGTGGAACTTGCTCGAGTGTCAATTTTTAGATGAGGCCATTCTTAAGTGGTGACCTGACTTTAAGAAACAAATGTAGGAACCATTGACCTACATGAGTGGCCTTAGTTAATAACTCTCAATGTCAGATCAGGGGTTCCTTCTAAATCAACTACTTTAAGCTTGAGCGTGAGCAGAGAGTGGAAGCATGCAACTAAAAATAGGAAATGACTTCAGTTCCCTGCAGATCTGTTTATTTATTTTTTGTTCATTTTAAAACAGAGCAGTCAATGAGAGAAATGGTGGCAGATTTCACTTACATTAAACCCTGACATTACATATGTAAACATTCATATTTCTTTTATAGCAATTATCAATAAAAACCGTTATATTGATACCCTGTAAGCAAATTTCTACCAGTAAAAAGAAATAACAATATCATCATGCACATTTTCCTTCAGTATTTGGAAAAACTTCATCTTGGTGCTGGAGAGTATAATTTATAATCATGATAGAGCCTACTCAAGCTAATAAATTAATTTCAAGTGAAAATTTAATGGAAAAGGGGCTAATTTTTTGTCATATCTGGGGAAATTTGGAAGAAAATTCCATATAAAATGGAAGCTAACTTTGGTCATTTGAAAGATGTCAGTCTATGAATGAATAACTTAATGGGCGTATTTTTTAGATTTTTATTTCAGATAAAAAGTAATTTAATTCCTGGAATATAAATCTAATTAGATTTAGACTACATTCCCTCTCTTAATTTAAATATCCGATTTTAGAAAGTATAATTTTGAGCATTGCTGCACAGTTTTAAATATCTATGTCTGATTAATGAAAGGGCAGAAGTATCAATGCATTAGAAAATAAATTATGTGTAAAAATGTCTTGACATTTTCTGGGGTAATATTTATAATTGATGTCTCTCTTTCAAACTCTCTATAGTTCAAATTTTCAACTTCCTTCACATTCCCCAGTTTTTCATGATACTTTTTATAATAATAAAACATTTTGTGAGAAAAATTATCATGGAAAATGAAATTATCAGCACTAACCCCATTCTTCATTGATTAATCATGGTATTATGGCCTGATCCCAACGACTAAAAAGAGAAGAAAAGAAAAAAATATGCAGACCACACGTTAGTCCTCAAGTTTGAAATAAGAATAAGTAAGAGTAGTTTTCATTTAACCCATGTCACATCTTGTTTGTATATTTCAGTCATTGACATGGTTTAGAGTTAACAGTACTCATATTTAAAGTACATAGAGACAACTGAGCACTGGGGTTTCTACCATTATTGTCATGCGATTCTCATGGATGTTGCTTTGAGTAGCTGTATTGAACTGAAGCCCTCAAACAAGGGCGGCAAGCATGCCGTTCTAAGCAAAACCCTTCATTACTAAATCCCAGGCATCAGTGAGGCTCAGAGGCCATTGGTGTGGAATAGTTCACT